GCGCGGGGCTCACCTCCCGGCGGCCCCTCAGCCTCTGCGGGCTCCTTCCCCTCCAGTTCTCTCTCCGCCAGCCTTGCCCCGATCCCATCACTGATGATCCTCCGGCGACCTGCTCAGCGTCCTCCTCTCCCCTCCCCTCCGGGACCCGCTCGTTTGCTGTGAGTGGTTAATAGTCACCCACACGAGGCGCCTCCCACGCCCAGCTTTCCCTCCGCAACCCCTGGCGCGCCCATCGCATTGCTGGCCGGACAGTTCCACTTGGCTTGCCCTGCACGAACCTCTAACTTGCCGCGTCTTGCCCCTATTACCGTCCATCTCAGAGATGGCGCTACCACCCACCCCATCGTCCTAGATGCCTCCTCGCCTTCCCTCCGAAATATCCGTCCCCAGGCGCGCTCCATGCTTCATCCTAATTCCAGCCTGGTTGAGGCTATTAACATTCCGCTCAAAGATCTCCTTGTCTGCACTCCTACCTCCTTCACATCCACTCGCCGCACGGCTGGAGCGAGCCATCTACAATCCATGTCTGACTATGCCTCTCTTAGCCTAAGGCTGCGCTGGTGCCAAGCCCTCTCTGTCTTGGACACGCTGGTCTGCCATTTTCCCATCTAACACCTCTGGAGTTGGGACCAAGGATTTGAAGGCTGTCAATGCATTTATTGCTGTTGGGCCCTACCCAGGGATTTTGCATCTCACTCCCCCTCTTCCCCTAATTGGCTGCTTCTTACTCATTCTCCAAAGCTCGAGAGGTGAGTCATCTCTTTGAGAATGCCGACCTTATTCCACTATCTGGCTGAGTGGAAGTGTCTCTGGGCCCCAACACTTAGCATCCCCGCTGCTTTCATCACACTGGGAATAACGACCTGACCCTTCAAGATGGCCTGTGAGACTGCACCTCTGTGCACCACCTCGCCCCATCCCCACCCCCAGCCCCTTCCTCCCTCTGCTCTGATCACACCGAGGGTCTCAGTTCCTAGTCTCTTTGTTCATTCACCCTCCCACCTCAGGGTTTTTACACAGCCTGTTCTTTCTGCCTGGTACACTTTGCCCTTCCTTACCTACTCAATGTTTGCTCTCATCCTAAGTAAGCACCATTTCCTCAGAGACACCTCTGAACCCTCTCCCACCCCAACCCCGATTCAGTCAAATCCTCCTTTGATAGATCAAAGCATATAAAAAACTAGAGAATAATATCAACATCTTTTTCTTCTATGCCCCTCCTCTACCACCTCCTCCGCTCTTTGTCAAAGCTTAACATTTGCTAATTTTTCTTCAAATATTTTCTTAAACACACACACACACACACACACACATTTTTTGATTTCAGAGAGGAAGGGAGAGAAAGGAGATGGAGACATCAATGATGAGAGAGAATCATTGATCGCCTACCTCCTGTACACCCTCTACTGAAGATCGAGCCCACAACCCCTTCATGTGCCCTGAGAGGGAATCAAACTGTGACCTCCTGGTTCATAGGTCGATGCTCAACCACTGAGCCACACTGGCTGGGCCAAATCTTTTCTTAAGGACATAAAACTTTACAAATCCAGGTGGAGACCTCTGAACCTAAGGTACCCACTCTCCTGCATTTGGGGTTTATCATTCCCATGCACGTTTTTGAATTTTTACTACAGGTATTTCTGCCTCGATGCATTTTATAGAATTGTTTGGCATGTTTGTAAACTGAAGAAATGGCATTATCCTGATTATATCATTGTGCAGCTTGCTTGCTTCACTCAGCATTATGATTTTGAAATGTACTCTTACGGATACATGTAGTTCTCAACCTGTGGGTCGCGACCCTTTGGGGGGTCAAACGACCCTTTCACAGGGATCGCCTAAATACATCCTGCATATCAGATATTTACATTATGATTCATAACAGTAGCAAAATTACAGTTGTGAAGTAGCAACGAAAATAATTTTATGGTTGGGGGTCACCACCACATGAGGAACTGTATTAAAGGGTCCGCGGCATTAGGAAGGTTGAGAACCACTGTTCTAGATCATGTTCACCAAACTTTACTTACCTGTCTCCTTCTGGAGGACATTCAGCTTATTTTCAAATTAGTTTGTTCTTGGGAACAGTGCTACAATTAATATTTTATTTTTTAAAATATATATTTTATTGATTTTTTACAGAGAGGAAGGGAGAGGGTTAGAGAGTTAGAAACATCAATGAGAGAGAAACATTGATCAGCTGCCTCCTGCATACTCCCTACTGGGTATGTGCCTGCAACCAAGGTACATGCCCTTTAATTTGCAATTCCCTGTTTACAAGAGACTGAGGCCCGGCTGGTGTGGCTTAGTGGTTGAGCATCTGACCTGTGAACCAGGAGGTCAGGGTTCAATTCCGAGTCAGGACATATGCCCAGGTTGCAGACTCAGTCAATCCCCAGTGCAGGCCGTGCAGGAGGCAGCCGATCAATGATTCTCTCTTATCATTGATGTTTCTATCTCTCTCTCTTTCTTCCTTCTTCTCTGAAATCAATAAAAATATATTTAAAAAAGAGACTGAGTATACTTTCATTTGTTTATCGGCCATTTGCCTTCTGTCTTTTTAAAATTGCCCATTGATTCATCTGACAGTGCTTCTATTGGATCATCTCTTATTAAGTGTAGGAGCTCTTTATGTATTCTGGATACTACTCCTTTGTCCGGCTGTGGCCCATCTGGTGTCTTTGACTCCGCTGCAGCTTTAAATCTGGGCGATGATTTGATTAATGTCTGGCTTTCCCGCTAGACTACAAACTCTATGAGAAGAGGGGCCATCCCTGGCAATGCATACCGCGTCTAACACACACCAGGACTCAGTGAGCACGTCTGGGCTGAACTGTATTGACATCATTGCCTGTCTGTCTGTCTGTCTGTTTGTTTATTATTTATATTTACTTTTTTTTTTTTTTGCTGAAAAAAGCTTTATTGTTTCATTTGGTTTAATGCATGGGAGAGGGCTCCAGGGTGGTTAAAAAAAATGGCTAGTAGTTTCGGGGAGAGGCTCAGGAAAAAGCCAGACACCAGGGGATGCAGTGGGGCCCTCAAAGGCCTCTGGGCTCCACAGGCTCCTAGTCGTGCTGGAGGGTGAGCCTTTCGAAGAGTTACACGCCCAGCCCAGCCTGGGGGCCGGCAGCCTGCGGAGGTGAGTCAGGTGTCACCCATCTTCTTGATGAGTTTCACCTCCTCACCCAGGAAGTGGTTCTCCAGGAAGTCACAGAGCTGAGGGTCTGTGCGGGTAGAACCCAGGGCCTGCAGATCCAAAAGGGCCTGGTTCAGGTTCCTTGCCAAGGCCAGGGCAGCTTCCCTGGTGTCCTGAGTTTGCCCACTCGCCTTGGGGTGGCCTCAGCACGTCCTGGAAGAGAATGCGGCCATGGTGCTGGTTTCACTACTTTAAGAGATGCTTAGCGCCCTCGTACTTCTTCTCTGCCAACTCCCAGAGGAAGTGACCCATGCCCTTGAGAGCCACGTCATCCTGATCGAAAAAGAAACCCCGAGAGAGGTAGGTGTGGGAGGCCCGCAGGTGCAGGCTGGCCGGGTGGCTGACCGCAGCCTCCACCTGGGTGGAATAATCCTGAGGAATTTGGGAGCTCTTGGTGGTTTGACAATGAGGAGTTAAGGTAGGAAAGAACACACAGAAACCCCACAAAACCAGTGTGCTGGCTGGTCCCAGAGGTGGTTCTGAAGGTGGTGACTGGATCAGACGCAGGAAAGTGGCCAGAGCTGGAAGAAGGGGTGTCCCTGAGTCTGTTCTGTCCAAACACTGTTGAAGCAAGAGACAGATCCGGGACCGCCGAGGGCACTGCGAGAGGCTATGGCC